TCCTCGCCTTTCTTTCAGTTAGCCAAAATAGGTACTACTCAAGGTCTGTCCTAAAAGAAAAGTGGTGTGGGGCTACCTTTGTTAAATTTTGTTTTTCTTCCTTGGAGTTGATTGAGTCCTGTATGAAATTTATGATAATAACGTTTTAAAAATGTGTTTCCCTATAGTTTTTGAAGACATAAGGAACCAGAAGAAAGAGAGCACCTGTTATTTAGAATTGTATTGGGTGCAGGTGACCCCACACCAAAAAGTGGAGGCTACCTGTATTTGAGTATCAGTTGCAGTAGTATATTAAGCTTCCCTTCCAGCTTTCTGTTACCTCTAAATATGACAACCAAAACACTAATAAAAGGGTGAACAGAATAGAACTGAAACAAAGCTCTGGCAGACCATTTGCTCCACACTGACATTGAGCAGTTCAGGTTTCATAGTGGAAATAACATGTTTGATGAATGAATGTGTGACCCATATCCTTTGGGGCATGCTTTTCAATCAGCTGTGAAGGTGTCTAATTGTGTTATCATTCCAACCCACCTTCTTCCATCCTGGAAAGCCCAAGGATGTCAGGGTTAGGTATTTTTAATATTGAACCTAAATGAAGTGCCTTCTGCCAGGGCACTCATTCACAGGTCTCCCAGCTAAATAATAGAACAAAACAGAAAGATTGGTGTGGCAGAACTTAGAGAATTCTTGCTGTGTCCTAGTGACTTCTGCCATCAGGAGCAGGTGTTCTGTCTCCTGAATGGTTGTACAGTTTTTCTAGAACTGACATAAGCTCATCAGTGTGCAGAGACTCCTTTTCAAAACTAAATCCATGCATCTGTCATGCACAGTCATACACGCCGGGCAGCCATGGGCTCCATTCAAACTGAGAGACTCACAGGATTGGGTGTGCTGGGCAGAGCACCCCAGTTTATTGCTGTGACCTAGCACTGTAATGTGTCAGAGTCCAGGAGTGTCTCCCTGTCAGAGCCGTTGGTTGTTAATGTACAGGACTTAGAGTCAGTGGGGATGCATTCCTACCTCTCCCAGCTCAGGGGCCATCTCATTTTCCTATCACATCTGAAACGGTCTGAATCTATGTTAATGGGGGAAGATTTTTTAATTATAGCAAAAAATAATGTGGGGCTGCCTTTGTTAAATTTTGTTTTACTTTCTTGGAGTTGATTGAGTCCTGTATGAAATTTTTGATAATAGCGTTTTAAAAATGTGTTTCCCTATAGCTTTTGAAGACATAAGGAACCAGAAGAAAGAGAGCACCTGTTATTTAGAATTGTATTGGGTGCAGGCGACCCCAGAGGAAGCAGCTGAACCACACCTGAATGTTAGCTGCTTATCTCCAATGCTCCATCAATTCTGTGTTTACCTGCAGCACCTTGTTTGGCTTTCCAACACCTATTCCATTAGAAAGAGGCTTGAGATGTTTCATTTGCTTAGGAGCTTATGAGTAGAAAATGTAGTCCCATACCTGAGTTTCTGAAGCCTTGCTGTACATATGAATCATCTGGACACATTGTTAAAATGCACATTCTAAATCAGGAGAGTTGAGGGGACCAGAGAGTTGCCCTTTCTAAGGCTGTGGGGAAATACTGGTGTGGCTGATCTGGGGATCACACATTGAACAGCAAGGCCTTCTGCCAGTGAGCTAAGTTGTAAAATACTGATAGGGAGACACAGCTGTAGATACAAAGATGCTTAAGATGCATGATATATGCAGAACGGTGATCATCAGGCAAACAGTGTGCAGTAAACCCTAAATAAATTTGTCTGGATTCGTCTAACTCTGCCTTTGCTTCCCCTTTTCTAATAATGTTTAAGCAGTAGTATTTGCATATGTGGTTCTTTGGTAACTGAGCATTTATATAATCACGTGTGGCCTTATGTTTCGAGGAAATCTTCTGCTGTACATCCAGAGGTACATCCAGAAGTGAATTTCCCCCCGGGGTCCACCTGATCCACTGGTGTGTTGCAGCCCTGAGAAGGCAGTTAGGGACACAGGTCATCTGCAGACAGCTAGAATGAGACCATAAAATCTTTTCTTCTGCCATGTCTCATTCTCTCTCCTTTACCTTTCCCTTCTGTGCATTTCTGCCATCATGATATATATACCTCTACATTTTCCCCACAGTGGGAGATAAAGACTGTGCAGAGAACTACTGGGGCACCAGTGCCCTCTCTCCTCTCCTGCGCGGGAGATGTGGTCTTTGTAAATGGAGGAGATGGATGGATGGAAGTTTTATTGGTCTGGCCCTAAGTCACTCCAGCTCCCACATTAGTCTTCGCATCCTTGATTTACCATTAGTATTTTCTGGGAAAGATGTTTATCTAGGGATAACTTTTCAGAAGAATAAATTTGAATGTGTGTGTTAGGCCAGTATGTCCTAGTCCACTAACAGAAGACCAGCCCTGGAGTCCATACAGAGAACTTGAGGGCCAGCTAAGCCATTATCTCTCAAACAGTAGAAATAAACCAACACACTCCTGAGAACCAAGTGTTTTTCAAAGTCACTAAAGCTGAGCTCTTTCAAAAGTACCCTGAGAGGGGTTTCCTAGTTTTATGTATTGTGCGATTTGGCTGTACAGGCAGTTTTACATTTGCATTGCTAATAGACCTCTTCCTGAATGAATGTATTTGACATTTTGCTTTGGCTTTGAAAGAACTTTTATCCGTAGCTTTTTTGCCCCTCAAGCTGCCTTGGGCTAATTAACCTATTCCCTAACTGGCTGGGCCTACTGTATGCAAATGTTTCCATTTGGGATTATGACAGAGCACTCGGCATGAGCATCGCTAATGAAATCCTGTGGGGTTTTATTGGATCAGTGATACTGTGGGGCCAGCAGGGGGCGCATGGACTAGGACGAGCTTACGCAGTTCTTTCTGAAAGGTGACTCTAGAAATCTCAAAAGATCTGTATCAGTACTTTTTAAGCAGCCAAAAGAGGAACATTTCTAATGTTTTTGTATTTTAATTTTATTCTGTCATTGTTTTGAATACAGCAGTCATTGAGATCGATTTTCAAGTACTGGGGTGTAAATCATGTGCTGCAGTCTTTATAAGGGAAGGCTCTACAGAACACAGTTGGTCAGGATTTATAAAAGCTCTCAGTAGGAGGGCAAATAATCATTGCTCCTACAACACAAATATTTCTCCAGTTTTAATATATTTAATGTTTTTTACCTTACTGTTTCCATCCCATCCTTTAAAGCACATCTCCTGTCATGAGAAATCCTGTTCTTACTGCAATGTCCTTTGATATTAAGACACCAAATATGTAAACTTCTACCTACATGCATCCCTGATCATAACCACGAAGGATGGGGAACAAAAGGGACATTCGTCCTTTGTCATGATGTTTGTTAATGATGCTGAAGCAAAACCAACAAGGGCCACTAAACCATTGACCAGAAAAAGGGGCCCAGATTCTGGTGGGGGACTGTAAGCTGCCCCCAAGAGATGGGGGATGAGCTGGTGTGGGAGGGAAGCAGTGGGCAGCACAGGAGAGAGCAGGGTCTGTATCACAAAAGGGGTGTCACCATTGTCTCAGCTGATGCTGAAGGTGACTGCCTTACTGTGTTTGTTCTGAAATCAGATCATTGAAGAGGGTCTGGGGAGGAGAGATGCTAAAACACCCCAGGGCCTGGAATTCCCACAGATTTCCAGACCCCATAGCACCAGACTGCTCAGGTCTGCAGCTGCTGCCTGTAGAAGGCACTCACATCTGCCCCTGGCTAGCCTGGTTCCTGTTGGTTCGCTGACATCTTGCCTCTTGCCAGTGGACATCTGTTTGCCCACTCTGCTGTGTTCAGTGCTCACTGAGACACTGAGATGTGTCTGTAAGACTGGCTCCAGTCTCGCTATTCAGAGATGTAGGTTTAAGCACGCAGGTCTGGTTGATCTGAAAGAGGTTCCATCTCTAGGGTTACTGATGGGCTGACCAAGAAGGGAAAGGGGCAGCCTGAAGAGAGAAGACCGAGACGACCTGGGAAGGTAGAAAGAGGCAGGACGAAGTGCACGTGTGACTGTGGTCAGGGAAGCCCGCCGTGCATCCGCCCTGTTAGTGCCTTCTTTCTTTGAACCGTAACCATATTCATGTTTTAACTCCCTCACAGTTGGCTTTCTGCTGCCCTATGAATGGCTGTACTGGGAGTTCTTTGGAAACTTTTAGAGGACAGGACTGTTGTTGTCAGCCTCTGCTGAGCTGGCATGTGGTGTGTGTGTGTGTGTGTGTGTGTGTGTGT